CGATCGTGGTCACCTGGGTTTACGCGCCGCGTTTGCAATACAAGCTGCGAGGATCTTACGAAAGTGTTGTTCGTCTGTAAACGTTTCTGCCTTTCCATCTAACTTCCTCCTTGCTACGCGAAAACGCAGCGCATGCGCACTTGCGGCAGATCGCCACATGAGGTGTCCGCCATTAAATTGCAAACGCTCCCCGTGGTTTGAGATGGCCACCCTCTCCTCAATCTAGGCTCTCTATCCTGTCCCAACGAAGGTGGCGAACCCACCCTGAAACAACGGCGGCGGCGCGCAACTTCTCGGACGGCGGCCCCCGTTGATTTTTCCTCCGTCTGACAGGAATAGAGTATACAGGAGGCGTGGCTTAAGGTTAAAGTTTGAAGAACGCTATATCAAGCCAACATTTGTTTCTTTGATCTATTACTTTTGTCTTGTGTGTACATCTGTTTACAATTTTACATCTGTCTGGTTATATTAACTCCGGAGCAACAGTGTGACGAAATGTTCGAGTCATTTTATAGCCGGGAGTACACTGATAAGTTTGAATTCTTTAACTGTGAAGAAAACACTTACTGACGTCATGGGCTGACGTCAACTATACGATGACTCACTGATACCTTCTGAGCAACAAGGATTTTCTTGAGTCCAAGCACGCTTTTCACTAAAGTGATTATGAAACCAGTTTCTAACATGGCGCAACGTCATTCTCCTGCGTTGGTTCATCTGACGAATGTTAATGCATAGAAGGCGCTGTATGACCGAAATGTAGGTTGCACGTCAATATGTGACCTAAAATAATCCTCAGCTCTTCGCTAAGGCGTGCAATACTCCCTCAGTTGGTTTAATATGTATACTCCCAAGATTCTTTTTTTTAATGCAGAGGTTTTATTATTCTATTTTACGCATGCGGTCCTAAATTATTTCAACGCCGTCACCAACATGCGGACATTTAGCGATACATGAAAACGATATGATGCACGCGGAAAGGTGTTGGTGGACTCTTGAGTATCGTTATCGGAGGTATCAAAACGATCTGTTAAAATTCCCTAGTATTACAACAAAGCTATGCTAAAACTTCATTTTAACAGCACGGTCGCACTGATAAGGAGGCTCCAGTGTTTTAATGGCCGCATGCAACTCAAGCAATCGAATTTGTGGGAATACCGCTTCCACCCATTTTAGTTAATAATATTTGGAGTAGACAGAGTAGATCAATTCTCAAGAAGATAAAAAAAAACTACAATTACAGACAACGGTCGAGTTGAGTTCGCTTAACCCAATCACCGAATATATAAGCGTATAAACTGTGCTTACGAAAGCAAACCGTCCGTAGGCCACACAAGGGCCTAATATTTTTTTTCCGGCATGTGGGTATTTATGTATTCCTTTGCCCTAGCAACTAAAATATTTTCATCTGAAATAAATAATACAAATACAAATTAAATAATGGAGGCTCCAGCCTGGTCGATTCTAATCACGTGTGCTCCACAAGGCCGGTGGGCTCCAATCCATGAGCTGTCGAAGCACACCGAATGGAAAGTTCTGTCTCGTTATGGAAGCTTTACGCGTGCGAAGTTGCGATAAGACAAGTCTCTTTAGTTTGTTTGAGGCGTGAGCTAATTGATATTTCGACAGGCTTAGCATTTTTAATGAGAAATTGTCCGACATGAGTCTTCGAATAGTCTTTTGCCACTAAAATGTTAATGTAGCTGTACTTGATAAAATGTAATATTAAGCAAGCTTTCCTTAGTTTTACGGCGGTCGTATGGCTGCATGCTGGCGCACAGAAGAGCTAATATAAATTATAATCGCAGCAACACATAGAAATAATAATTTGTTTCACAACCACCACACAAATGGAGGGAATGGGGAGAATCACAATATCACTCTTCCAAGCCATGTTACGAATATTGCACACACAGGCAAAAGACAAAATATTCCGACTTAACATTTCGCATTCTCACTTCTTACGTTCTTATCTGGGTCGTTGCTTATTATCAACTCTCTTTAGATCACAATGCAGGCTGTGGTTAGAAAAAAAAAATCGAACTTCTGAAATTTTAAAACTCACCGTTTCAAGACCAGCTCGAACCTTTGATCACGGGTGACTTTTTTTTTTTTTTTCCCTTAATAAACCATTTTAGAAATTCAGTGCCATCTCGTGGCTCAAATATCAGTCCAAAATTTTGTATGCTAATGGCGGTTAAAATCTAGCATCTATTCGTCAACGGCAGAAGTAACAGCGTTCTTCATTGTACCATTATTTTTTTTCGCTATCTATTTGTTTCAGTTTTAATGGTGTCAGAAACGATTACTCTTATACGGACACTTGAACTGCACCACGGAGGAAAAGGCAGCCATCCAGAATTTGAAGGAAAACCAGAGCATTGTGGCCCTGCCTGCCGGCAAATGAAATGCGACCGTGGTCCTGGAGCGAACTACGAGGTGATCCAAGGATAGGCCAGGCTGTTTAAATCAGCCGCAAAATTCGGTTTCTTAACCTATCGCGCTACGACTCTCAGCTTCTCCGGCGTGCGAAGCAGGCGACGACGACGTTGGATGCATCGTGTACTTCCTGCGATGTGTCAAACATGTTTTTTTTTCCTCAATCGACGTGTTTGCAGTGTTTTGGAAGCCAGAAAAAAATTGGTTTCACTTTATTTTTTTATATTTTTAATATTGAATGTGTGCCTTAGATGACCCACGACTTCGAATATATCTAGTACGCTAGTTTGAGAGGCATGTGACCATGAAGAAGAGAGTGAGCGCGTATCAACCCGGCAAATTCTCGATCGGTGGTTTTCGGGCGGAAAGAAAACGAATTTTGCGCCGAAAATTGTGTTTTCGGAAGTTGGGCTCTCATAGATCATGTTCAAATGAAAATCTCGGCGAGCATAAATACCCTGCCAGTGTCCCTTTAAGATGCGTCACGCGGGAAACGTCGAAAAAAAAAAAAAAAAAAAAAAACCAACACAAAAAGACACCGAATTTTAAAATGAAACAAAATACACCCTATACTTTGAGATGTAACAATCGCAACGGGCAGTTTGAGACACCAGGCACTTCGAAAAAGAATAACGACACCGGGCATTTTGGAAGACGACGACCAAGACAAAAGCAGTCACGCGTGATCAAGGGGCCGAGCTGCTGTCTCGTAACATTGAGGTTTAAAGAGTTTCAGATGTTCAAAGTTTGTTTCCGTTGTAGTATATTTCCTATTCAGGTTGTCTACCGAAGCGTTCACTTTTAAGAATGGGGTGAGTTCATTGGGTTTCAGAACTGAAACACTGACCGGGGTTCTCATATTGAGAACTTTCTTTTCCGCCGCCACAAATCATGGTAACCCCATCATGCCGCAAACACTCGGCAATGCTGAGTGTTCGCGGTATGATGCTCTTGTCAATATCATTTGTGGTTACAATGAACGAGCCCTGCATACATTCCCCATACGGGGGCATTTTGCACATTTCCTTTATTCGTAGAGGCGCCCTAAGGATCCCTGGTCGTGCTGCTAGAAAGTAACGTTAAAACGTGAATTGTAATCGAAGGAGTTCCTGTCGACATGCACCTCATCAATACAACGACGGCATTTTCTGTTGATCTTCTGCGAAGGTGTAATATCTGCGAGGACATCAAATCACGTCAAAAAATTTCCAGAGAAGTATAGAAACGACACATATCCGAAAGCAATTGAGATGATGTGGATTTCGTTGTCTCTCGAGGCGGTGACCAGAAACTGACATGCTGTAATATTTTATCAGGAAGCGAATTGTTAATAAGATGATCAAACTTGAAGTTATACGTTGTTAGTTGCTAATAAGAGACGATAAAACTCGAAGCTATACGTTTAGGGGTTTGACTTGAATAGAATGATTTTAAGTCGTGGCGCGAATTTGCGACCAGACAAGGTCTTCACGGGGTGTGGCTAGTATTAAAAAAAAATGTCCACCAGATTTAATTTATTAAGACAGTTGTAGCTTGGCTCATACTAGAGCCACTGAGCAAGCTACACTCTATACTTCACACATTTTCTTCGGCTGCGTCAACAGCAATCAGAGCGAGAAAAATGACCGAGACACCGGAACAGTCGAGGCTCACGACTTTCCGGCCGTTGCTGTCGTTTTGGTACCTGTGCGAGTAGCCGTCGCATGTCTCAACCAACCCTAAAAAAAAAAAAAAAGAAAAAAAAAAAAAAGAAAATTTGCTTTGCATTAGTTTTGAATATTTCACTGGAATCCCCAATCAGGAAATTAGCATCCATCCTTTCTTGTTAGTCCACCCCTTCTGCCTCACAGATATGTACACAGAGTACCGACGCAATCCTGAGGCTTACGTGAATTTCCGTCGGACGCTTCCACGTGTAAACGACGCAAAAAAATGTGGCTCTACATGGCGGCTTTCTGAGCCATTCAAGCCATTCACCCATGTACGAGTAATGACCTCCGAGCTGCAGCAGACGGCAGCCGCCTCCCGCGAATAGCCGCGATGCGCAAGAAGAAAAGAAACTCGGATCATGAGCACGAGGGCAGCCCTATAATAGAGCGCGCTCACTCGTCGCAGCAGTACCACCGAGAAGACAAGGCTTGGGCGTGACGTCATCGTTCGTGGACCACCGGACCAGCCCCGAGCGGCAGGCATATCCGTCTTGGCGTCGTGAGACGCTATGAGACGCTCTGAAGGCGACGCTGACAAGAAGTTAGGCGGCGCTGTCTCCCAGGCGGTATTGCTTACAGACGCGTTCGGTGAAATGGCGGAGTGGTCTCTTCCGAGACGTTGGGAGTAGAAGACGAAAAAGAGTTGTTCACCTTGCGTCCGTCGGCTTTTGGATCGCGCGGGCGCCTCGTAGACTGGTTCCATTAGCGATGAAAGGACAGCCATGGCCGGTGAGAAGGGCGAAGACGCGGCTCTATTTCTTAGGTTGTCATATCTTGATGTTGTTGTTTTTTCTCTCCCCTACATGCAGCGGTGACCTCTAGAAGAACCATTCTGAATATTATCACAATCGCTTGCTTTGTAAGTATAACGTAGTCTTTGTATATTCTGATAGTGGACCGGTCTAAAAACCGTTTAGAAAAAAAAAAAAAAAAGAAAGATTAGTGGCTTGTTGGGCACGCGTTACATAACAAGCTCTACTCAGATTTCTTTTCAAACGTGGAATTGTTTGGAGAAACCGGAACCCTTGGTCTGTGTATCCTTTTGAAAAGCGATCTATCGACTCTTTCTCAAAAACAGTTTTCCGAAAGAGAGACACTCACTTAAGTGCCTGCCATGTGATAACCAACCCAAAGGAAATTACACGCCCCCCCCCCCCCCCCTAACTTGATAATTTCTTAATTAACAACTGGGTGTAGTTGTGCCGTGACCTCAGTTCTCTTCAGAATTATTTGATTTCGCCACTGCCACAGAAACTATTGCCAAACATTAAATATCTTATAATTTCTGGCGACATATATCCCAATTTATTTATTTCGTTTCATTGTCAGTTTGGGGGGGGGGGGGGGGGGGGGGAAGGGGGGGCTTTCGGTGTTCCTTCATAAAACCTACAATAATAATTCGATTTTATAAAGAGAAAATTATTGAACTAGGTCTATATTCTCCTATCTTTTCTCAGACCTTGTCAGAAACACCACATTTAAAGTGCTTCCTTCTTATAGTCATGATCGCTATACCGTATTTGCTCCAAGTGTTCCCTTTCGCTCAGCTGATCAACTCTCTGCAAGTTCACAACAATGCGATGGCTCTAGCCACGGGGCACAGCATCCGGACATACTTCAGCCTGCACAAGGGCACCGCCTACCCTGGTAAAGAATATATTTAAAAAAAAAAGGATTATTTCGCTACTTACAAAACAAACATTCTAAACGCGACATCCCAACACCATATTAATACCATCACGGGTACGCGAAGTACAGTTGAAAGCAAGTGAGGTAATGAACGTTTAACGTACTTCTTAAAGTTCATCCGTCTGTCATAGCCAGTCAGGTTATTTTTCTTTTCACATTTCTAACGATAAAGGTATAATGCTGGATCAACTAAGACTACTTGTCTCCCAGAATAATTTTTGATGTCATATCTTATCATATAACAACGAAGGATCATACGAAATCAATGCACGGCCAAGATATGCACCACTACAACCGCCAGTATTATAACGCTGTGGCATATGCCTCATCTCTATTTTACGTCCTCTGAAACCATCATATAGTGGGAAATGAAGTCGCTTATATCATCAGACCGTCGAAGTGTGTCATTTAATCGACAGCAATCAGCGACAATCGTTAAACATCCCACATATTGGACCATTCGGGTTATATCGTGAGGACATAAAGAAATTCATATCATAATTAACACATCTATGAAACATCCAAAATCCCTTCACTCTAAAATTGTTAGGAATACGTACATAATTCGGGACAGCTGCGGTTCATGTAAAAACCCTTTAGGAGTAAAAAAAAAATTACGTTTAAACTTAACTTGCCTACACCTCATGCTAATGGCCAATCAGCTAAATTCGCTTCAGTTCCTTTAGCCGGGTCACGGCTGTTCGATTTCCTGCTTACCCCTTAGAGGAAATCGAGGTGCCGTGGCAGAGGTAACATCAATGTTGTTTTAGCACATCTACAATTTGTTGACATGAGAAATAAGAAGTCGTACAACAATCGGACTTGTAGGTTGAAGGGATCTTTATAAAATTTAATTTTATTAATAAAACGATACAGCCAGCTAAAAAAAAAAATTAACGATTCCGTATTGTTTGTAGAGAAGGGTGATATCAAATTATATAAAAATTGAAAGGTATAAATAAAATACGAGATACGCGAAGGAAACGTTAATTACTTCGAGCAACACAATTACGTTCAACAGGCGTCAAACAAGCTGGTTGAAGTGGCACCATAGTCGGAGGCATGTTACGAACCTACCAGATGATCCGCTTCCTGTGCGAGCTTTCTGCCTCTGGTAAGGCTTCGTCGCCCGCGCAGTTAAAGCACGGCTGACGACAACCACCAATTGCTGTAGGCGGAGCCGCTTCGGCATTCTTAGTGAGGCGCTAGCGTATTTTATCGCAGTATCCTTCTCACCAAAATGATCAGACCCAGACTTCAGCTCTTTGTCTACCAAATCTGCCTAAGGTCACACGATTCAAGGACGTCGCTTTGTCGACAGCTTGGATGTCAAACACGTGACCCGGTGACGTCATGGTTTCTTGCTTGCAGCCATGACGGCAGTGACCGCCATTCTCTTTGTGGGGATGTTCACCTCCACCCTGAGCGCCATTTCCGACATTGTCTACCTCTGCGCCCAGTGCACGGTACGTTGAGGCTCGGAAGTCGCACTCGCGCCACGTTTGTGTTTTAGTACTGAGCTTGGCCTTGGGTATACCATCGGGAGTTTAGTGACGTTTGCTGGGCTCGGTGTAATGTTAAAACGAGTATAGATGAACACCAAACTTTATTTTCCCTACGTGTCGACTTTGAACCGTCCGATATGAGACTTCCAATTTACACATCATCGTGGGCGCTTCTGTCGCGCTGGAACAATGGATGAGGCGTTCGCTGAACGTAGCGCACAAGCGAGCCTAATATGAACTTAAAGAGCCCCTGAAAAGAAGAAAAAAAAGTTTTTTTAAGCAGTCTGGTCGGGACATGTTTGTCAAGAAATAAGTTTTACGCGAAAAGAAATTTTTAGAGCAATATTGACTGCGAGAGATTTATTTGAAATTCTGCGCGCAAAGTTCATGACGTCAGGGATTGGTCATTCGCCCTTTCCACCTCCACCATGTGAAGACGAAGCCGATCCACCTCTCCTCCACGCTTCCGAAATGCCGAGAGAGAGAAGAAGTGGAAAAGAGGTGACTACCAACTAAATCGTGTCTAGCGCCGTCAATATATTGCTCTAAATTTTTTCTTTCTCGCGTAACATTATTTTTTTTACACGCGTGTCCCTCCCCCCCCCCCCCCCCCCCAAGCCTACGAATCAAAATTCTTTTAGGGGCCTTTATTGTTATTATTATTATTATTTCAAAATACTGCGATCTTAAGAAAGGTTATTGCAGGACTTACACACAGAGAGAGCGTCATAGGTTAAGCAACACAGCCTAAAAGGACACGTCAATAAGTAAAATAGAAGGGTTATAGAAGGAATCACATCAATAAGTAAAATAGGAGGGTTCTAAATAGTATGCACTCTATAGTACGCACAATACAACCTAAAGTGCATCCGAAATTTATCAAAATCAAGTGAACGAGTCGCACCCTCAATACTGTTTCAGTTTTTAATAGTTATAGGAAAGAAAGAGAATTTAAAACAATTAAGGTTACATTGATATGGTACAATGTTTAAGGAATGAGAACTATACGAGTGGCGTGATTGAGTAGTAAAATCAATATAACTATTACCATCAAGTACACTGTTATTATTACATATTTTATGTAGGAGCTTAAGACGTTCAACATTAAGTCTAGAAGTTAAGTACTCTAGTCCTACATCAAACATGGATCACGTGGGGGAAAACTTGCGGTCGTAGCGGTTGCAAATAAGTTTGATGGCCTTAGTTTGTATTGTGTCAAGGAGCCTATGTCCCGCTTTGAAATTTGGGTCCCAGACTACGCAGCCATATTCCAAAATATGTCTAGTTAAGGTCTTATAAGGGGTTATTTTAACTTTTTTTTGTTGAAGATTTCAAAGTTCTTTTAACGTATCCCACTTTTTGTAGGGAATACCAAGTGTACTTATCTCAACGTAAGATAAGGCTGGACACGTGCTGTTAAAAGTAAAGTGAGAAATATCGCCATTATCACGACTAAATACCGATCTAAAGTAGTTGTTGAAACAGTTGGCAATCACCGCTAGTTCGCCAACTCCATTCACCCTCAATAATAAAACTTTGGAAATCGTCAAAATTTTGAAGGATAGACCTCCAGAATTTGGAAGGGTTTGATGTCATAAATTCAGATAGGGTTATGTTAAAATATTTCGTTTTAGCTGCCAACGTTTTTTCTTTCAAAGTAGTTTTTAGATTTTCAAACAGAGCTTTATCACCAGGGGTTGCATTCTGTTTCAACGGGCGTTTTCTTTTACTCTTCGCATTAACTGCAAGAAATCTCTGGTAATCCAAGGCTGTGCCGGATTTTTCTTCTTTTTTAAAAGAGGTACAACATTGTTTATACATTTATCTACGAGAGAATTGAAATAATTAAGCGGCGTGTTAACATCAGAGTCCGCACTTATAGCACAAAAATAATCAAAACAAAAAAAAAGCTTTGCTCATTAATTATAGTTGCATCGTCAGCCCCGTAGAAATCAAGGACCGTGACGATTTCAGGACTCCCATGATTGATATAAAAATTGAGCTTAGCTAAAAATGCTTTATGATCTGAAATTCCCTCAATTAATTCGGATTCGTAACCCAATTGTGTAACACCATGACTAAGAAAAACAGGATCGAGGATAGCATTGTTCCTGGTATGCGTTTTTACAATCTGATCCAGATCAAATGACACAGTCATGTCTACAAGAGCATCATCGGGAACCAACCACATGTGTTTCCCAGTTACTATATGGCGCATTGAAATCACCCAATAACACGAGCTTGGAGCTAGCTAGATTATATTTTTGTATGTAATCATAAACGTCCTCGATAACTTGAAGGGAAGATCCAGGAGTTCTATAAATAGCGCCGATAACAAGAACGAGCATAGCAAGCCGCACTTTACACCACAAGGACTCAGTGTTAGGTAAGCTCGACAAAACAAAATAGTTAAGGCCAGTTAAAAAAAAAAATAACGCGACACTACCGCCTCTAGAGGATCTATCATTGCGTACCACACTGTAATTAGGAGGACTGAATTCACAGTCAAGAATACCATCATGTAACCAAGTCTCGGTAACGCATATTACGTGCGGTGAGCATGAAGATACAAGGCACGAAAACTCGGTTGCTTTGGGACAAAGGATTCTAGGATTGATGTTTAATACAGAAAACGATTTCTTCGCTACGTGTCAATTTACGTGTT